CTTGATAGGAAGTAATTTTTTTTATTTATCTTTCTTTATTTCTTCTCGCTTTAGAGATTTCAATTATTTGCGCAAATTAAACTGATTTATTTTATCTTATAACGCATTTCTTGTTAGTCCTTCATACATAACCTCGTAACAAAATCTCGATAACTCGTAATTATGTATTATTGCCCACCTTCACCCTAAGAGTCTCGTGTAAACCAATCATCCTCTAATACATATTTCGATTCTTATTAAAGGACGAATTTAGCTTCCCTCCAAAAGTCATTTTACAATATGCCTAAAAATTCACTTTGTGTATAAAAATATAAAAAAGTGATTATAGCAATCAAGTACGCACACACATCATTCACTATGGTCCCTATTCACCAACCGCGTCTTACGCTTAACACGGTCCTTCCTCCCCTCCTTACATTTCCCGCATTCCATGTTCGATGTTTGCAGATTGTCTGTATTCGAGCTGAGGAGGCGCAACCGGACTCTACGGACCTTCCACCGCGTTATTTTGTAAAGGCAAACGCGGGGAATTAATACTTATTACTTCCGCAGTAGGTCGTGATTACGAAAATCTTATTTTCGCTCTCCTATGGTGGAAATCGTGTGTCTTATTTAGTCCTTATTGAAATGCTCGGTAAAGTAGAGGATAATCGTAATAATGTTCTATAATAACATACAAGTAAGATTCAAACTCAACGCATTATTATACCAAGTGCACAATGGTATGCAACTATTGATAGCCAAATCTTATACACTACATTCTAAAAAAAAATAAAAAATAAATAATATTAAATAAAAAAATCAAGACTCGACCACTATTCCGAAAATATGAAATACTTGAAATAATACAAAGCCCAATTAGCTCCGAGTGAGCACTACATAACTCTTAATCTCCGGAAAAATAGACTCTCGCCGCCCAATCCAATTACGCTGGCTTGTACACCAATTACATTGCTCTGCGCGCTTACTCAAATCGAGAGGCCAAAAATTCAGATTCCGGCCCCCTAAAAATCGCATTTTTCTTTCTCTGGCAATCTAGTTTATTATCATAAGAGTAAACAGCTACTGTATTCAAAGCGTGCATTTCCCTCGTCCGTTTTCTTTAAACTGAGTTCCTCAAATCTCAGAGAACAAACAAATGAACAACGCGCGGCCACTCGTTCCTTTCGCTCGTACAAAAATAAGCTCGACACTTGTTTCATCAACTGGACCCAGAAGGCACACCTGTTGGCAAAACGTGCTGCTCGACAAAATAGTTTCTCTCTTAAAAAATGGGGTCTTGTTAGCAAATAAAACAAATGTATTTCCGAAGAACAACTGTACATTAAAATAAGCGTCAGCAGGATTCGCCCGACACTACCCACTATTCCATTACTACGAAAAATCATAAGGTGCGGTAGTCTACTTACTTGGATGTACCTGCAGCGCTGCTGGCGGAGTCTTCTGTTGGTGAGAAACATGAAATATTAATGTTTTGATAGAATATTAGCTTTAAATAACTATACATTCCACACCATTTCCCAACCTCGTCAAAGATGACAAAGATCAGTCTACGATTCTAAGTATCTATTCATCCCTACCTACGAATACAGAAGTACACACGCACACACCCGCGCATGAATGAGCATTTCTAGATACCTTTGAAGGTCATAGCAAAGATGTGCAGTAAAATATTTCTGTATCAGATAAAATAATAATGATAATATTCATTAAAAACTTAAAACATCACAAAATCTAACTGTGGAGATTACTGAAAGATGTACCCCAAGCTCTGTCTCCAACAGCCATTACACGACTGGCTACGAGGGGCAGCTTCGTACCGGTCATTACGATTACTAATTGAAAATCATACAGGTGTTGAATCGGAGTAAGAGCAGCACGCTCCTCGTTGCATTAGTAAATAAGGTGTAACTTCTTCCGCTTAGGAATATTAATTCTTATCACCAGTTAAGCGCATGTACTCGGTAACATCCAAACGCACATGCCTGCCGACGTGGGCTTCGTGTCACCGCGAACTTCATCTGACCTTGATTAATATTCAGCGAGTGGCGGAAACGTAACATACGCCGTGCATTTGTTGTCGAAATCGTCCTCCGGATACTATGTTGACTAACCCTACTGCATGCGTTCAATAGGCCGAAGGCAGAAAAATTAAATAGGCTCTAAGGACCCAACAAACAAAGAGATGTTCTTGAGGAAAGGCAGTGCTCCCGCTGACGACCTGAGCAGAGCTGTGGGTGAGTGAGAGCTGTCAAATGGCCGCCAACAGTAATGAGGACCCAGGACTCTTTATTCCCACGCCTATTCTTTGTTAAAGAAATCTCGGTTCTTGCGAGACAAAAGGATGCCAATTAAAGTAACTGTGACAATTAGTTTTAGCCACTTACTACCGCATTTGTAGGGACATATTACTAAAAGTAATTTGTAGTGATTCAGTACTAATAGGAGAGACGTTAGCAACATCAATAGTATTAGAAAAATATAAACCTAAATATCAACG